CTTTGTTGTCTTGTTAAATGGACTTTATTCCAACCCACGAGTATTACTTTTTGTCCATTCTCTTCTCCTTCCCACTGGGGGCAGGAGGAGCGAGTGGCTGTCTGATGCTTAGCTGCCAGCTACCAGGTTAAACCATGACATTAGCATAACGCAAATTTTTCACCCATTCTAATTTCCTTATAAACGCAAATACCTCCATTTGGGCTCAACTCATCCTTAATCTTGACCTTGCTGGCTCACTGGAATAAATCTCCAAGGCTGACGAAGCCAAGGTGAGTACAGGTGTAGAGATGAAGAATATCAGGTATGACTACACCACGCTGTGCAGCTTGACTGTTATCTCACGTCACGCTCACCGATTTATTCAGACTAGGCTTGGTTACCCTAAGTGTACTACCCTTGTGAATGACTGGAGTCAACACAGAAAAAAACACCTGTGAAGAAAGTATCACATATGTTTCCATTCTAAACCATCTTTGCTTGGCATATGAGTGTAAATGAAACTGTTAAAAGCCCTCATCAAACTGACACCATGTCCTCCAAACAGATGGTCCCAAATGCAGGCAGGCAGGATGTGATATTTGGACACGGTCTGTGTTTGCAGAGCACAGGGTTTTAAGCCAAGAATGTTTCAGCGGCTGAACGTCCGGAGTTTGTTCCAATCCTGCCAGGGTATACGGCATCCCCAGTCAGAAATGAACTAAACACAATAAAATAAAAGATTTTTCAATACAGCAGAATGTGAGTTATAAGTCACCTTTTATCACAGAAGCTGGGAAAATGCTTTCAAATTAAGGATCCAACCATTTTTGGCTCTCAAGAGAGGACCTTTTTGAAACTGGCAAAATGCAAACTATCCATATTCCATTGGGTTTTATTTAATTTTATATAACTATTTTCACCACGCCTCAGTGAGCTGAACCCACTGTTCTGTTTCATCGTTGCTGCTTGTCTAACTCCACATGCTATATGAGATACGAACAGAGCTCACGGCAGTAGTCAGATCATTGCAGCAGGTCTCATGAAAATTGCATCAAGGTGACAAACTGTGATTGCTAGCTTGATAACTCTGCAATACAAAACAGAAATTTGATTGTTTCATGTTTATACAATTAAAATTACCAATACTATATGCAGTAAGTCACTTGTACTTATGATGCGGTTAGATCTCAAAGTCCATTCATTTTTACAGTCTCCATCCTATAGATTCCACAAGTCCATAAAGACTTTAGTAATTAAACATGGGAATAACAGGTAACAGAGAGAAAGATGTAAACACATGAAAGCTCATACACTTTATCCATATATTGTGTCTAATGATTTTTTAAAGTATATTCAATGGATTTGACAAAATTCCTTACAGATTCACTGTACAACAAGACTGAACGATCTGCTTCCTTTCAAAGTTCAGGATATGCATTTACACATCTCTGAGAACAGGACTCTACATCTATTTGACTGTAAACTTACTGCAGTTTTTACCATAAATAGTTAATACTGATTATAACAGATATATAAAAATAATACATATCTAGAAGCTATTAGCACATCACCAACTATTGTACAATGACTGTACAACTATTGTACAATGATAGAGTACAATGTACTCTGTCTTAAGCCAGTTTCAAAAAGACAATACAGGAAAAGCAATATTCTATTAAATTACATTGAAAAAAACTCTAGAAAAAGCATGAACTGTCTTAGAAAATCTTTCTGAGAAGCTATAACATCAACAGTACCTTCTCACAATCTGGGAGATTACTAGTAATGTTCCTCATCTGCTGAATCAACTGGATGATTTGATATATTGATATATTTGATATATTGATATATTTGATATATTGAGAAAAAATCCTCGCTTTGGAAGTGAAAAAATTACCTACGGCATTAGAATTACTCTGTAGCTAATTACATTGCTTTACTTTTGAACTCACAAATGTGTTTGCATTTATTTGTTCTCATTTTGTGTGGGACAAGACTTTTGTCTCTCTGAAATTAGCAAAAACTTTGGTGATATGAAAAAAATGTAACCTTTGTTAGAATGGAAGACAGAACCCATGGAAAAACATACAAGGCCTAAACTTGGTGAAGAGTCATTGGCATTAGCAAAACTTTCTCTTACTTAACAGCATTGAGGAGGGCAAGTGCTCAGGAAGAACTCAGGATATTCTTTACTGTGATTTGTAACACTTTGGGTATTGGTCTCCAGCACTGGATGACCATTTAATCGTGTCTTTGAGAAATGTAAAGCTATGCTCTTGAATTGAGTTTCTGGGTGTTTCAGTGAACTTGTTCAGGAAAGTCTTCTTCAATAGAGTGATCTAGGACACCTTAGTTTGAAAGTTTTAAACACAGTGATCACAGCTGAGAGGTCTCTAAGCCAAAGCTGTGAGCATAGTATTTATTACCATTGTTGCTACAGAAGTGCTTGTGTTGAACAATGAAATCAAATACAATTGAAACATTCACCCCATCTCAAAAACTGAAGTGCAAATGCCTTCAGCTGCTGCTTAGGTCAATACCAACAAAATAACTTTTGCTATACTTGAAAAATTCAAAGACTACAAAAATAGCTGACTAATTACATTTCTTAGGATAGCACAAAGGTTGTAGAGATCCAAAAAAAAAGCAACTGTTTAATTCTGTTACAATTCTAGCTTTGTAACTATCAAACAGTATTGTATCCAAACAAAGTAAGGTTGGAAATATGATTCTGCAGTGTTGTCATATAGCAGAACATTAAATTTCACAAAAAGTATCACAGCTTACCAGACATTTTATGAAATCAGTAATTTAGTCAGTAAGGAGAATTTTACTCAGACAAGTTCGGGTATTTTACTCAACGACTCAAAATAGTAAAATCCTTCACAGTAAAATTCCTGATAAGAAATCCCTTTTTTATCACGTAACTGATGTATTTTCTAACATTTTCCATGACACATTTTTTTTTTCTAATTCAAATTCAGTATGTTTGCTTGAAGCAGCAACTAATCTCACTGCTTAATTCAAAGCTACCTTTCAAACTAGCCTATCAGTTTCACCTTTATTAGTACCTCTGTATAATGAAAGTCCATTGGTGATTTATTCACATTATGAACATATAGATGTTCAGTCCAAGATCTATTTGAGCTAAATCTGAGTCTCATGTCTCTCTCACGCTTAATATTTCCTCTCAGTATATCCAACACAAATATTTTTCCAGATCTTTTATATATAAATATATATACTTAAGTACACATATGTGTGTGTTCATATATATATACACATAAATATGGGGAGAAAGAGTGCGCATATTTTCAGAAAACTGTTGTTATTTTCCCTTAAATAATATTACCAGACTGTTTGTTAAAACACTAGGATCTTAAAACAGAAATAATCCCTCAAGGTCATGTGAGGTAAATTTGGACATATTCTCTTTATTACTATTAATTATCAATTAAATATGATACTATCAAAGTAAAGCTGTGAACAGTCTTTGTTATTATCTTTTACCTATACTGAAAATTGTAGTTGCACTTGTTACTACACAAATAAATGTATTTCATGGAAAACTACCTACAACGTACAAGACTGCAATAAGTGTTTTACATATAAACTCACTACTAACCTCGATTAAAAGTACTACGTCCTAAGAGGGGAGGAGATAGCTTTCCTTGTTGGTGATTATTTTCCTGAATTACTTTCCTTAGACCTGAATGCTTATATTAATTTTATTATTATTATGTATTTATTTTCTTGGTATGGTTTATTATGCTATGTATTCAAGGAGCCTATCATTGTTCCATATACAATAGCACAACTGACATAAAAACACATTCTCTTCCTCACTGCAGAAAGAGTATCATAAAAAGAATTATCATTATGAAATATATGTAAGTACTGCACACAGGAAACTTGAAGCAGTCTTTCCGACAGAATACTGGCATAGCCAATCCCCTCAATATCTACTAGGTACCAGCTGAAAATGGGTTACCAAGTTTGGGTACTAAATTTCAAACAAGCTAAGGACCCACTGAAAAAACACAGAGGAGAAAACCAAGCAAAGTCTGTGATCACATCAGTACCTCTGAGTCCTCTAAGCAGCAAGAAATGCACTGAGGGTCACATTACAGTGCTCCGTCTTTTCTTGATGGAAAAGTTACATGAAAGTGGTAGATTTGCTCTAGAGAAGAGAGGAAACACATAGACGCTTCTCATTGAAACACTATAAATCTTCAAATATGTAAAAAATGCCTCAGCAAAGAAAAGAACAAACTGGTCCCTTTGTCCACGTCCACCAGAGAAGAAAATACGACTGTTTTCGATCAGCCAAGGTCCCTAGTTCACGTTGCAAGGCACTGTCCCCCCATGTGCAAGGGTTCTACTTTCCCTTCCGGAAGGGCCTTTTGTTTTCCAGAGCAGTTCTCCACCTTGCGAAGATCAGCCCAAGGTCTGACACGGCCCCCCAAGGCTCCCTTTGCCAGATAAACATCAGTGTAATTCTGAACTGGGATAGACTACACTGACTTAGATCTTGTGCTATCATCACCATAACAAACACTACAAATCACTCTCTGCTAGCAACTCAGCACAGTCAGTCATACCATAGAGCAGTGAAGTACTGTGTGGGGAAAAAAAAAAATATGTCTAGTTTGTATTTTTTTTACCCTCTGGGTTATTAAAGTGAAGTACATCAATAGATTTCCTATGTCATAGTTTTATTTTCACAAGCAACTTCAAATATTTTGTTTACAACACAACTGTCTTACTGCAGTAAAAAGCGTGTTTTCTGAAACTATTACTTACCAGTAAAATTTCAAGCACAGGTCCTAAAGACTTGAAATGATTATAGATCTTAAATTCAGCACAAAGGCATTTGGACATTTATAGAAAGGCTTAAACATTGTACGAGGCTGAAAGAATAAGCCATACATATGTTTTAATTCTTAATTTAACGAGCATTTAATTTTTTAAAAAAGCCCATACATACTACAGTATTCTATAAGTAAATAATAAGTTACCTGCTTGGTCTTTAAACATTTTTGATATGACGACAGGCACTTTGTGCTCAGCACCACCCTGTAAAAGAAGCGTATTAGCCGTGAGATCACAGTTAAGACTGAAGTGAAAATTAAAAGAAAAACTGAAAATTAAAAGAAGAAACGAGAAGTTATCCATACCTTTATGCTTAAGCCCAAGCCACCAACTGGTTTTCTACGAAGTGTAACAGTTCTGTGCTTTAAAAAATTGTAGAAAAAATAAACTTAGGTGAAAACACAATATCTGAATAAGCATAGAAGATGTTTCTAAACTGGTTTTTACTTTTAAAAAAATTAATTCTCAAAGTTATTTTAAAATCTGAGTTACCAAGTTCAGTTCTGAAGTATCATTCAATACTGATTTATAGGCACATATTTAATTCCTTACCATAGAGAGGAGAACTTGTGTGTGAATTGTGCATGCAGACTTTTAGTATGTTTTTCTAGGGCTGAAGTGATATTCTTCCCAAACAGAAATTTTTACATGCTTTTGTTTTGTTTTGACAAACATTTTAATGAGAAAACTATATAAAGAGCTTTGAGATGCGCATTTTCATTGCTATCATGTATGCATGATATTTATTCTAATTTTTCAATCATAATTACCAATGTTTTCTACTCCTTATCTTCAGACGTATAGCAATTTTTTGCAGCATATGCCAAAAGACTTTTAGTGATAGTCTGCTTCAAATTGTTATTTTCTTACATTTCATGTTTAAGTGCATGAAGATGATAAACTTTTATCAATATTTATCTACAACAAGCTGTCATATGTTTAAAAGTATGCTGAATTTGACATTTCATTAATGTGTAACTCTTGGTGCCTGACAACATAATAACAGCACTTCATCTGTTGACAATAATTAGAGTTGAGGGGAACTTGTTTGCAATATGCTGAACAGTACTGCATAGCATGCCATTTTTAGAATAATTCTCGAACATATGAGATGAAATATTTTTTCTTTTTATGTGCATCAGAAATTATATGAGATTATTCCTATATGTATACTTCCTGATTATTTTATGATTTCACTAATTGAGACAAATGTAAATTTTTATTTCAGCAGTTAAGCCCATAATCTTACAGTAACATGTTAATTTTAGGTGTTGGTTTTTTTTCTAACACTCACCTTACTAGATATATGTTCATACTGATGCAGGGGAATGGGGAACACAATAAATCATAAATTTCAGGAGGGTAAAACTAATCCATATGGTAAAAAATTTAAGAATACTTTCATACTTTTTCAAAACTTCTCTCTTCTGTTCCTATGAACATTATACTACACCAGTCTGCGCAAAATATGGAAAAGCTTTGTATGAAGACACATCGTACCTGACATATCAAAAGATTTATATGATTCAATTTCAGATTATATAATTCAGCTTTATTGAAATCTGTGCTAATTCAAATTGTTTCTTCATTTTGAACTGCATCAAAACTTTTGATCAAAATTATCATACGCACTGACAAAGTTCAGATCCAATCTGAATGAGAAGTCTCTACCTTTAAATTCAATGACTCATTCCCAAGAGACATTTTCTAAGACTAAATCCTGTCTGCTTATTTAATTCATGTTTCTCTCCACCTATACTTAGACCCTGTAAACAAATTATCCCAATATATCTCATCACATATGGATGATAGAATAAATATTTTGACAGTCTAGATTGCTTTAGCTTCACTGGACAACAAATACAAAACCACTACATGGATAACTTTAGTCATTTTATAAAAGACAAGTACAGTATTATTTATTGGCATCTTACACATTCAACTACAACTAACGTGTATTTTTTATATGGTTGATGGGTACATTTCAAATGATAACATTGATGATATAATTGAGATTGTAGCCCTACAAAGCAATCTATTTGCATGACATTGTAATAATCTTGATATTTGTATTTTCATAGTTCATAGCATTGCTTATTACAGAGCTTTAAATATTCCTATTAAAAGACATGCAAAAAATTCCTTCTTTTAAAGATGTTCAAATTGCATAGTAAAATGCCACAGGCTGAGCATGATCAAGTGTCATAATCAAGATCATCTGCACAAACCTATTTCAATCCTATGCTCGTATATCATTTGCTACAACTATGACTAGCAGTCATACAAGACCAAACATCACATTTTATTTTCTATAGATAGATTTTTGTGACTGATTTTTAATTGAAAAAAAATCTGAACCGTGTACAATTCGAGAATATTAGAAGAAAGCTAACACTGGGTCAATATTGATAACGTGTAAATAGAGCCATGGATCTTCATTATACGACAATGCTTTAAGGTCAGATGATCATAAATCTGGCAATGAACCACCCATTCTATAATGGAATAACAGTAAAACCAGTTCATAGGGATTTAAAGAGGAATAATTTTAAAGGGAAAAGCTCTATAGGAAATAGTTTTTCAAATGACACGTATACTCACTATGAAATTTCTAATATTGATGCAGAGTACCAGCGTTGTAATAACTCTTCTAAGGCAGTGATCTGACATCCCACAAAAACTTGATTAAAAACATTAAACTATTCAAAAAAATATGGTGTATTTTAAGCACATATAAATTGTCTAGCTAAAAGATCCCAAATCAAAATGTAATTGAGATAAAGCTACTATTTAGTGGATATGCTTCTTGTGGGATAGTGACGGTACCCGCATTATTTTTGAAAAAAATCAGTGATCTGAAAAAAAAAATTGAAATTAATTTGCAACCATGTTTGTAAGGTACAACGCTTCTAATAAGGTAATGATGAACAGGACAGGTTCTAAGTACGCAGCACTTCAAGGTCAAGGTCATTTAAGGTCATCCTTGTAAAAATGAAAACAGCTCAAACACAGAAAAGCACTGTCTGGCAAAAGGTGGTCTTGCAAAAACCATAAACATGCTGAGTATGAGAAAAACCCTATGTTCCTGTAAAAAGGCACAGCCAAAAACACTAGTGTAATCCCACATCATCAGGAGACTACTAAGAAGGAGCAAAGAGACTATAAATTATTTCTGTATCTGGAAGTGACTTTAAATAATACACCCAGTTCTGATACGCTCATTTTGAAAATGATGTAAATAGATTAGAGAGGTAGCAGGCAGGAGCCAGAGGAACACCAAATAGCTTGAGAGATTTGTGTCGCAGTGAAACAGATGCCCGGAGTTAAATATATCTAGCTTTTTTAAAGCACTTTTCAGGGATGATCAGGCACAGTTTTAAAGCATCTTCCTTGGCAGAAGATGACCAAATTGTACAGACAGAAAATTTCAGTGACTTGAAGTGGAAAACATACACATTCAGCCTGTAGACACAAGACAAGATTTAAACTTTTGTAATATGGCACACCACAACTGGATTTTTAAAAAAGCTTTTAAAAGTACTATTTTTTTAATAGTAATACAGCCTTGAGACCTTACAGTGTACAGATGTTTCTTTTTTTTATCTTTATTTAAAGCAAGATCTGTCATATTATTTCATGAACATAAATCTAACTTAGTTTGAAATGCAGTATTGCTAAAATACTTAAGGCTTTTTTCATGCTAGTAAGCAGTATAGTATTTAGGTACATCCACATCAATGAAATCAGTTTCACAGCCTGCCACAAATATCGTCATTGTACAGAGCAAGAATGGAGGCACAAAAAGATTTAGGGACAATTAATTCTGTTTTAGTGATTTGAAATGCGTAAATGGTTTTTCTAAGCATTCATATGAACTTTACCTGTTCAAAGTATCTTGTTGACCAGCTTCAGCCTTAGCTTAGAACGTTCATCATTTTAACACATCATAATTTCACGCTAGAAGGTGAGAGGCACCTAATGCCTGATCAGCAGTGTTAATTTGGTGTTAGCTGACATACACGACACATCTAGGATCATATCGCACCTCTATTTCAGAGGAAGGATCATTCCCTGATGGATATTGAGACTACCCTCTTCTTGTAACCTCTCAACTCATTCCTTGCATATTTTCCAACATAAAAGACAACACAAAGCCAAGATACAAGTGAAAATAGCCTGCATATTTTTAACTTTCTAATATTTGACTTTGCATCTTTAATTTAAAGAAGGAAATTAAAAAACAATTTTGGGGGAAACCCCACAAATTCACATGGTTTGCTATCGGCTAGTTTCTATTTAGTCCTTCATTTGGACCCTTAAATCCATAATTCAGATGCTCCTTATTAGAGCCAAAAGAAAAATTGTGGGCAATTTAGAGGAAAAAATCTGTGGTTAATTTAGAGGAGATTCAATATTAGACAGCTGCTGAAGGCCAGAC